ATGAGAGAAAGAGAGAGAGGAGAGGAGAGGTGTGAGAGAGAGAGAGAGAGCGGAGGGAGAGAGAGAGAAAGAGAGATGGGAGAGGAGAGAGGAGGAGAGAGAGGAGGAGGATGGGAAGAGTGGAGAGAGTGAGAGGGGGGAGAGAGAGGAGAGAGAAGAGGAAGAGAGAGATGGAGGTGATGAGGAAGAGATGAGAGAGAGAGAGAGAGATGAGAGGAGAGAGAGGGAGAGAGGGAGAGAGAGAGAGCGAGAGGGGATGAGAGGAGAGAGAGAATAGAGGGAGAGAGGGAGGGGAGAGGGAGAGAGGAGAGAGAGAGAGACGAGAGTAGTCTAGAGAAAGAAAGAGGCGAAAGAGAGAGACGAGTTTGAGTGAAGAGAGAGAGTGAGTGAGGAGAGAGAGTGGTGTTGAGGAGAGAGAGTGTAGTGTAGGTGAGAGAGAGTGCGTGAGAGTGTTTAGGGGGGGGGGGGGGTGAAGTGCGTGTGTGGCGTGTTTGAGTGTGATGTGAGAGTGGAGGTGATGGATTGCGTGTGTGGTGGTGAGGTGTGTGTGTGGAAGGTGAGTGAGTGATATAGAGTGTGAATGTGTTGGTAAGTATAGGTGAGTGTGAGTGTGTGTGAGATGAGTGAGAGAAGAGATTGAGTGAGTGTGAGAGAGAGAGAGTGAGAAGAGTGAGAGAGAGAGTGAGAGAGAGAGAGAGAGACGAGAGAGAGAGAGTAGAGAGAGAGAGAGAGAGAGAGAAGAGGGAGGATGAGAGAGTGAGAGAGAGGAGAGATTGAGAGAATGAAGAGAGAGAGAGAGGAGAGAGAGAGATGGAGAAGGAGGAGACGAGAGAAGGTGGAGAGAGAATGATGAGAGAGAGCGAGAGAGAGAGAGAGAGAGATAGAGGGAGAGGGAGGGAGAGGGAGAGAGAGAGGTGAGTCTAGAGAAAGAGTCGAAAGAGAGAGAGAGAAGAGAGAGATGAGGGTGAGAGGAGAGGAGAGAGAGGAGAGAGAGAGAGGAGAGAAGAGAGAGAGGAGAGGTTTAGGAGAGAGTGAGAAGAGTCTTAGAGAGAGAGAGAAGAGGAGTGAGAGGAGTCGATGAGGAGGAGAGAAGATGTAAGAGAGAGAGAGAGAGAAGAAGAGACGGAGTGAGAGAGAGAGAGAGAGAGAGGGAGAGAGGAGAGAGTCTAGAGAAAGAGTCGAAGAGAAAGGAGAGGAGAGGTGGAGGAGAGAGAGAGAGAGAAGAGTGAGAGAGAGAGAGAGAGAGAGAGAGAGAGAGAGAGAGAGAGAGAGGAGAGGAGATGAATAGGAGAGAGGAGGAGAGAGAGTGATAGAGAGAGAGAGAGACTAGAGAGAGAGAGAGACTAGAGAGAGAGAGAGAGTGAGAGAGAGAGGAGGAGAGATGAGTGAGAGAGAGAGTGAGAGAGAGAGAGAGGAGAAGAAAGATGAGAGAAGAGAGAGAGAGAGAGAGGGAGAGAGAGAGAGAGAGAGAGAGACAGGGACAGACAGACAGAGAAACAGAGACAGACAGACAGAGAAACAGAGACAGACAGACAGAGAAACAGAGACAGACAGACAGAGAAACAGAGACAGACAGACCGTGAAACAAAGACAGACAGACAGACAGAGACAGAGAGACAAGACACGACCCATCAACAAATAAACACCTCCCCCTCTCCCTCTCCGGCCTCAGCGCTAAAGCACACCTGGGACAGTTCTTGACACACGCACACACACGACACCGCACGCCCAACGCCCAACGCACGCCCATGCCTTGGCCGTGACGCCCCGTGAGATTGTATGTCACGAACTGCAGCTATGGTTCGTAGTTTTACAAGCTCGCTGAATTGGTAGCAGGGGTCCGGCTGCGGTGGTGGACGCGGGGGGGTCGTGTGGGTGTGGCGGGCGGTCAGAATGGCGTGAGTTTGAACGAGAGGTAGAGAGTAAGAGGTATAGGTGGTTGT